GAGGGCCAACCCTCTAGGCCCGTGGTCGGTAAACTATGGCTCACGAGCCACATGTGGCTTTTTGGTCCCTTGAGTGTGGCTCTTCCTAAGCCTTAGGAGTACCCTAATTAAGTTAATAACAATGTACCTACCTATATAGTTTAAGTTTAAATTTGGCTCTCAAAAGAAATTTCAATTGTTGTACTGTTGATATTTGGCTCTGTTGACTAATGAGTTTGCCCACCACTGCTCTAGGCCATGTTGGAAGTTCAAAGAGAGGGAAGAAGATAGGCAATAAGGCAGGCACTACCAGTTAATTATTTCATTTTGTTATCTACCAAGCAGGGCTTCCCCTTCACACCATAGGAGAAATGGCAATTTCCTAAGGCACTTCCAGAGTCTTGAGCCTAGATAATGACCCACAGTCCTATGAATCTGGAGGGGGAAGAGCGAACAAATAATGCACAATCTAGTCAATCCTTACCTGCTTTCCCCAAATCTTGACCCCCAAGAGCTTCTGTACTGCCCTGATTTTAGCTGAGGACACCTGCCCAGAGGTCTGCTTCACTCTGCTAGTACCTGCTGTGAGAAAGCAGGCAAAGGCAACTGGCTTTCTCCAATTAATCCATGCACAGACATTCAGCCATCTGCACCATCACCAAAACAACTTCACAATAGCCTCCCATGTCCACCGTGAGTTTTACCTTTTTTTCCTTTTAATTATTATCTAAACACATTTAAAAAACAACATTCTAATCAAAATATAACAGAACTTTACATGGTTTTATTTATACATTACTGGTATTGAAAGCAACCTTTATACAAAAATTTTATACAGATAAAAAAAATTCCTTGGCTAGGCAAAGCCTTTTAAGTGTATATACACACAAACACAGATACACACACACGAAGTATTTTACATCATTTTAAGTATACATATTTACAGATACACTATTTAAATTACTTTACAATTTACCAAAATGAGGCCATTAGAAAAGCAAATAAAAATATATGAAAACAAACTAATTAATGGTTAATTTAAAAATGCTACAAAACTATTTTTAAAAATCTAGAGAAGAAACTCATTTCTTTGAAATATCAAAATTAAGGTTTCAATATTATATTGTTGTTGCTTTTATCTTAATAACAAATTCTAACTTGTTTAAAAATAAGTTTTTTGACTAATAAGAGAAAAGCAAATCATACTGATGACTGGAACAAGCTGACTTGAGAGTAAAGAGTCAGCAATTAATAACAAATGTAGATAATCTAGTAATCCATGTCATAAAACTGCCCTCTACATCCCCATTTAAAACATGAGGAATTCCAAGCTTCTGTGTAGTATGCAGTATCAATTGAGACTCCAAGGAATTCAGCAACTATCTGTAAGAAAAAGCTAAAGTTATGACTCTATTCTTATGATATGACCATTTCATAAGTGGTGTTCTTTTAAATGAGTTCTACTTAGATAATTCTGATGTTTAAAACTAACTTTTTACAGAATCAGTTTGGAAACCTTATCATTATACTCTGATTTTGAAAAGAATTTAATGAGACTATAGTACTTGGAGGGAAAAATCAGTTAAGAGACAAACTAGGAATGAAGCAATACATTATGCTATCATGCAAGCAAATAAAATCTCAAGTATCGAATCCAATAAAAGATTTACAATGGAATTTGGAAATTTCAACTTAATAAGCATCACTTCCAGATACAAGTTAATTCTTCCATAAATGTACATTATTTTCTCAAGAGAACAGAAGTCATATTTTAAGAAAATATTCAGGTGAAACAAAAAACTCAATTTAATTTCTTAAAGATGGTGAAAATTTTAAAGCACAGTAAATCTGAAAAATAACCAGGTCATTGTCGCCTTAAACCAGTGATGGCGAACCTATGACACGCGAACTCATTTTTTTTGGTTGATTTTTCTTTGTTAAATGGCATTTAAATATATAAAATAAATATCAAAAATATAAATCTTTTTTATACTATGGTTGCAAATATCAAAAAATTTCTATATGTGACACAGCACCAGAGTTAAGTTAGCGTTTTTCAAAATGCTGACACGCCGAGCTCAAAAGGTTCGCCATCACTGCCTTAAACTATTTTTAAAGGTTCTTTAGAACAAGCTCTTTCTTCAAATTCCCCATTATTAAATCTCACATTCTGAATTATATAAATATAATTTTAACTTCACAATAAACTACTAAACATCTTCTGAAGATCCCAATAGCAAACTAGTTGCTTTGAGAGAAATTATCAGTTTTTAAAGACAGTAATTTACATCAGGTCTAGAAACAGATTTAACAGATTTATAACTCAAATATACCGAGAACCTTTCACATTAAGGTCTATGGCCAAATATGGTTTCTATTCTGATTTAATTTAATCTGAACTTAATTTAATTTAAAATTGGGTGTTTTGCATTTAAATAATCATGACTACAAATCAACTGAAAAATGATATCTTAAATATCTTTATAATTTTTCTTCTATAAAGTCCAAATATTTAAGCAGCTGATTCAGGTCTTACAGGAAAATCCTGCTGAAAAACACTGTTGCCTTAATAAACCTGTACAAGAATGGCTTTAAAAAAAACTGAGGGGGGCGGGGAACTGAGGAAACAGGTCTGTGAACATTATTAATAATTTAACATGGTAAACACTAAAAAAATAAATAAATAAAAATAAAAGGGAAATAAACTAAAAAGTGTAAACAATAAAAAAAAATAATTTAACATGGTAAATCATGTCATCTATTCGGATGACAATGGGTTCCAAGTATATGTTTTATATTTTAAAATATTAAAAATTTTTATTAATCAAATGGATTCCCTCCCACTTTAGACTCATCAGCAGTTGGAAGGTTAAGGAGGAATGCCATGCTGATCTGAAATGCAACTCTGAGCACATCCTGTGGGTTTGGTGACCTTAGAAGCCTGCACAAGCAATCATCCTCCAACCTCTGACTGAAGCAGGACCCCAACTGGATGTCTCTCACCCACTACTCACATCTTTGATGACTAAAGGCCATTAACTGCGGAGTTACAGTATCAAACATCTATTTTACTAATCTTCTGTAGTATAACCATTAACTACCTGCATTTTGACTTTTCAAAGAGCTTCAATAGTTGCTGGAATCTTTCTGAGACCTGAAAAGTAAAAAATGAGTATTAATTATAAGTATTACAATGAGATCTTTTTTTATGACTACTTCCACAAAACATCTAAAGAAAGTTACTGTCAATAATAAAGAGATGAAGTAATGTCTGGAAAAATAAAATATCTTCATACTAAAGGTGATTGTTAATTTAACTTTCAATATTAATCTTTCTTTTCTAAATTCAATTTATTGGGTGATATTAATAAAATTATATAGGTTTCAGGTGTACAATTCTATTATACATCATCTGTGTATCATACTTTGTGTTCACTACCCCAATTCAAGAATCAATACTAAACTTTCTTAAACAATAAACATTACAAAATTGTTTCAGATCAAAATAAGTAAATGTAAGACAACAGAAAAATAAATTAGGATTGTTCTTCCACAATCACCAAGTTTTTAACAGTCCAACATAAAAAGCCATACTTTTAAAGAAGTTGGCCAATAAGTATCTACATATTTTAAATATGTTAAAATGAAATCTAAGTATTTAAGTAGTAACATCTGTGAAACTATAGAGATGTAAAAATTGGGAAGTTACCTGAGATGAATCTTTATTCAACTTGGCAGCTACATAAGAAAATGTTTCTATTGATGGCCCGCTTTTCTGACACTCCAATAAAATTTCCCGGTCATCATTTCTACAGGGAGAAAATGTTATTTAGCTTTTGTAGATTAAAGCAGAAAGGTATCAAAAATTCCACTGTCTTAATGTCCATCAATAGGTGACATTTTTATTAAAACCCATAGAAGAAAAAGTGTGTATATCAAAACATTGACAATAATCTGTAAGCACATACGTATTTCCAAAATTCTCTAAAACTAACATGCTCATTTATTATTCTAATGACAAAAGGATAGATTTTTAAAAATTCTACCTTTAATGTATACAGTACCTTAAAAATTAGGGTCAAACATGACGAGAGACTTAATAAGCAAAAGAACGAAAGTAAAATAGAATCCAAATCTTCCAATACCCAGGCCTCTGCTTTTCGTACATGGGCAGAACCAATATGTATTATTACAATCTCTAAGATTTTACTGTGTCATCTCCAAGTTACCAGAAATTAAGGCATAGATGTCTATGGTATTAAATAAAATAATGACCAATTTCAAAATTCAGCTTCCCTCATTATGCACTCTAGTTAAGCCTGCAGATCATGAACCTCTAGTGCAGGGGTGGGGAACTTTTTTCTGCCAAAGGCTATTTGCATATTTATAAACATCATTTATGGGCCATACAAAATTATCCACTTAAAAATTAGCCTGCTATATTTGGTCAAACACTTAATTAACTTGCCCCTAATGCCTTGGCAGGGCCAGACCAAATGATTTCATAGACCTTATTCAGCCCATGGGCCGGACGTTCCCCACCCCTGCTCTAGTGCAATGGTTTACAACTGTGGCTACCCTTATGTCTGAAATGGGGTCTTGAAATCAGCATTTCTCAAACAGTTCACGTAAAAGTCAAAAGTACAATCTGTTTATAAACTTTTTTGAAACTCTTAATTTAGGGAAATGCTCAAATTATAAATGGTCACACTTTTTGCTCTATTTCACCACCCCACCCATCATTCTTCCTTTCTAAAATGTGATACCAGTTCTTTACAAAGAATCATTTTTTTAAATTAACAAGTTAGGTTAAAACACAATGAAAAGTTCTATCCATGGTGCTAATGCACATCCCTGGTTAAGAGCTGCTGCTATAGATTATACCCTAAAATGTATTCTCTATTAACTTTGACTACTTTTGAAGTCATCACTTTCCTTATTTTAGGATGGGATAGAACTATGACATGACAGTATAGATTTCTGGCTTCTCAAAGTTTCCTGTTGATTTAAATGTCTCATAAGTGCTTGATTTGGCAGCACATACACTAAAATTGGAACAATACAGAGAAGATTAGCATGGCCCCTGTGCTAGAACAGGCAAATTCATGAAGCCTTCCATATTAAAAAAATTAAAAAATGTCTCATAAGATCCTTACCTTGTCCATGAAACTATAATTTCTCCTTTCTTTTTAATAATATTCTTTGCAGAAAGGTTTACAGAAGTGCCAGATGCTGCTGACGGGTGGTCCTTAATCCTGGGGCTTGCCTTTAATGATGAAGGATCTTTCATCACTGTAGGGGCCTTTTTCTTACTGGCTTTCCTTTGGTGAGCTTCTCCATTCTCACCAGAATTTTGGGTAATTTTCTTGGTCCTTTCCTTACTGATTAAGTCCGTTTCCTTTCTCTGTTTTTTCTGACAAGAATGATTTAGATTAGAAAGTTTTTTCCTCTTTTTGTGAGCATTATCCAAAGCCACAGGCAACTCTAAATTATCAGAATTTGATTCCGGTTCTGATTTTAAATCATCCTTTTTTATTTCACATGAACTGGGAGAGTCTGAGGTCAAATCAATACAGCTTTCCACAACCATGCATTCCAAAGACTCGTTTGCCACTTGCACCTTTTTTTCCTTACAGTTACCTTCATCTACACAAAACACCTCACACTCGAAGTGTCCAACAGCTAAAGCAGGATGGTTATCTTCACTTTTACTCTCATTTGAAACACCTTGCGTCAAATCAATAAAAGCATCTACAGTATCGGGCTGCACACTGTCTAATATCTGAGCATTTTGATCCAAATTGCTACCAGAACATCCCAACTGATTGTTTAAAACTCCTACTTCTATGAATTCCCCCAAGTTTTTAGTCTCAGTGACTGGATCTTTTGTGAGGTCTACATATGTGTTTGGAAGATGACCCTCGACAGAATGTGGAATTTCTTCCATGGCAGGCAATCCTGCAATGCTTTCAGGCACTTTTGGTTCCCATACTTGATGCAACTTGAAGCACTGATCAGCCACTTCATTACTATGATCCACTTTACCAGAAGCGTCTTTAAGGAATTCATATATATCAGGAACCTGTGTTTGTATCATACAACCCTGTTCTTCATGAGCTGATTTACTGCTGTCAACATTTTCGTTGGAATGTTTCAATTCTTCCACAGATTTAAAAACTGTGTTCTGACATGAAATACATTCCTTCTCTGCTGCTTCATCAGTTTCCTTTCCCACTCTGGGCAAAGATGTCAATGACTCACCAGCCACCATATTCTGTATAAGACTGGAGGGAGTAGGTGGTGCTGTGTGCCGTATTTTCACAATGAAATGATCATTGGACTTTTCCATTATGACAGCATGCATGGGTAGATTAGGGTGGTATTGAAAGCCTGGAGCAACAGACCGGCTTGTCCATGATGAAGAACAACTTGATTTACTGCTCGAATTATCAGACTCCAGAGCTAAGTGAATATCTTGTTCCGATGCATCCTCTTCCTCAAGTAAGGCATCTTCACTAAAATGGGCACTAATAACCTCTTCAGGAGTTGAACTAGACAAAACTTCAGGCTTTAAAAAACTGAGATGACCATCCGACTTCAGAGGTGATGGTACTGTTAAAGATACTGCTAAATCTTCAAGCAGGATGGAAGAAATGCAGGGCTTGCTCTTTTCTGAACTGCATACATTATCTTTACTTAAAGCTATGTTAGTGGAGACTTCAAACATACAACTTTCATCCAACACATCAGGATGAACTGGCAACGACAGCCCTGAAGACAGAGATGGGCCTTTCTCAGATGATAATAATGACCAATTATCATCACTAATCATTTTAGGACATGGAGAAACCACCCCTGAAACTAGCTCTTCTGTTGTACAAGCTGGTATAGATTCACACTTAAGACTCTCTAACAGCTGTTTCTCTGGAGTCTTTAACTCCCACTCACTTTTTTCATTACAGTTAACACTGTTGTCCAAAAGATCAGAACCTTGCAACAAACTTTTAAATATCTCACCCATCTGTGCATCACTCACTAAATTAAAAGTGAGGCTAGATGCTTGCTGTTCAGTAAGAATCTCAAAACAGCGTTCTGGCTTCAAAGCTGCATGCTGGGATGTCTGTGTATCCTCTATAGTGGTGCCTTCCATTTTTCCTGGCTTTGGGGTGCTCGGACAGTTCAGTTCCAAGGAATGCTCTTCAGATTGAGGGCATTTAATATTATTATCAAAGCAAGTGTTAAAGCTTTTTTTAATGTCATTCTTTAATGTGTTAATTTCAGAGTTATTTTGGTCTTGATGTTTGTCCTCAGATTTTTTACATCCTAGTGAATACCTGGAATAAATAGAATCTTCTGATTTTGAGGATTTCTTTTTCGGCATTTCTTTGCTGGAGTTGATCGTATTCCCCTTCTGACAATTTGAATATTGTAGTTTTTCTTTACTTTTGTCCAATTTCCCTTCATCACTATCACTGCCAAAGTTTGTGAAACCACAAAACTTTATTAAGATTTTCTTAAGCTTTGCAAATAAATGATCAAGTTGTTCATCTACAAATTTCCATGCTTTCTTTTTCATATCTGGTAGTTGTTGTTCAAATAACCGATCCACTATGCCATTCTTTTTAACTTGCTTAAGTTTGGATTCTATAACATCACAAAGATTCTTCTGTAAAGTAGTCACTGACTTAGAGATTTTGGATAAGTCAAGGTGTTTAATGAGTGATGTAAAACTCAAAATTGCTGACTCAATAATTCTATGAAATTGTTTTAATGGAAATTTAATCTTGAATTTCATGTAGTTTTTCCTTACATGTTTTCTTATCATTCGTAACATGTGCATAACCTCTGGTACAGAAGAAGGTACAGCAATAATTGGAACTATTTTTTCCAGAACGGAGGTACTCATTGTCTTATCTTTTTTCTCTGTTTTTGAAGACCTGCTAGATTCACTCTGTCTCTTATTCCAATTCCTTTTGGTCTGCTGAACTTTCATAGATGTTTTCCTTTTGTCTTTATCCAAATGCACAGTACTTTTCTTATTTCCTGGACTAGTTTTTCTGTTCTGCCCTTCAGTAGAAACTCTAGGTTTGGCAATTTCTTCAAAACTATTTTGTAGTTTAGAGTTTTCACTGTCGCTTATAATTTCTCCTTCTTCTAACTCAACTAAAGATGAATTCTTATGAGAGCCTGCCTCTGTAAAGCTGTCAGACTTGCAAATGGGCTTTTGATTTTCCTTGTTGAGATCAGACTGACTCTTGGAGGTGGAATGTGCTGAATTTGGTGGAAACACATCTGTGGAAGAGAAAAGTATATGATAATCACATGACCCTTAGAATCATAGTCATTTGATATTTCTTTACTAAATATAACCAAAAAAAAAAAAATGCTGAAGCATTTCATTATTTTAATACCTTTTTACAGAATGTTAATGCCTAACACTTACTCATATCACTGGTTTTTACTGTTCTCAGAAGGTATTCAAGTGTCTGACAACAGTGATAGTTTGGTTTTTTGGATAACCATCAATCTATTGTTCAGGTATCTTTACTTCAGGTTAGCAGCATCACCTACTCTATGCCATCTGATGATAGCTTTTGAACAATAAAAACTGATCTGGTACTAGCCAGTTTGGCTCAGTGAATAGAGCACTGGCCTGAGGACCAAAGAGTTCCGGGTTTGATTCCAGTCAAGGGCACATATCTCGGTTGCAAGCTCCTCCCCAGCCCAGGCCCTGGTGGAGGCAACCAATCAATTGTGTTTCTTTCACATCAATATTTCTCTGTCTTTCCCTCTCTTCCACTCTCCCTAAAAAATAAAAATAAAAAATAGATCTGAAAGCAAGCAAGCAAAGAATATCTGAAATAATCTGTCCTTCCACTCCTTCTTTTTGTAGAAATAAGAATTACTGGGGGGGGGGGGTATCGTGGGGATAAGGACACATATGTAATAACTTAATCAATAAAAAATTTTTAAAAAAATTACTGAGAGAAACCAAGATGGCGGCATAGGTAAACACCAGAAATTGCTGCCTTGCACAACAACTTCAAAAATACAACTAAAAGACAAAACGGACATCATCCAGAACCACAGGAAGACTGGCTGAGTGGAAATTCTACAACTAGAAGGAAAGAAAAAAGCACACTGAGACTCAGAGGAGGTGCGGAAGTAAAGTGCAGAGGTATGGAGGCGCATGTGGAAATGGCTGGCAGCTGAGGACACGGTTGTCTTTTTCAATTGGGAGTCTCAAGCTCCAGACTGCTCTGAACTCCAGTTCTGGGCGAGTCTCTGGGGACCCAGACTCATATGGGGAGAAACTGGACTGTCTGGCATCGGTTGGAACTCGAAGGCGGCTTTCTCTCAGAGGTGCTTGCAACGATTACCAGGACACTGAGATGGGCCTCTTAGGATAGGACTGAGGAGCAGCCATAGCTGCTTACTCTGCCCTGTTGATGCCCTGAGACCCCGCCCACCCAAGCTGTGTGCAGAGGCTTTTGCATATGAAAGGCCTGGCCCTTTGCAATCTGAAAATTACTTAACAAACTGCAGCTGGGCCAGACAGACCCAGAAAAGAAGGCCCAAGGCCCCACAGCAGCTTGCACTGCTTCACAGCTGGGCCTCATCTGGGCACCTCCAAAACCCAAACAAAGAAGAGGAATCTGCAGATCTCTCCGCAGCTCCTGCTGGGTAGCCTCAGGCAGAGGCTAAATTAGCACCTCCTTAGCGATCCAAGAGCCAGTGTACCCAGTGGTCAGAGTGGGACCATCCAGATTACAACTCCTCAGATCCATAAGGGACACATTCAGGGGGCAGACTCAGTGAGCACCAAAGCCCCACTGAAGCAAGTCTTGCCATGAGGGTGTCTCCAGCACAGAAGGTCTCCCACTGCAGACACAGCTGATTCTCACAGCCAATTGGCCTGCAGGTCAATTCCTCCCAGTGATAACTAAAACAATCAAGGCTTAACTACAAGACTGCGCACAAAGCACACAAAAGGGGTGCACCAAGAGTGTCCACCTCAGGTAATTGGGGAGGCTGAGCCACTGGGCCCTATAGGACACCTAGCACACAAAGCCACTCTATCAACACAGGGAAGCATAAAAAATGCGGAGATAAAGAAACAGTCAC